GGAGGTGGGTGGTCCTTGGACTTCCCACAGGGCAGGGAACCCTGACTGCTCTTCGGGCTGATGAGGGAGAGGGATTTGATTGGGGGAGAGGGGGAAATGGGAGGCGGCAGTGGGGGAGACAGAAATCTTTAATAAATAAATAAAAAAAAAGAAGTAGCCTCTTTGGAAAAAAAAAGGGGGGGGACAAAGAACAATGGCAAAATATAAATCACATTTGAATGTCTTCAAACTAATGAAAGGAATACTGGTCAAACACTAGTGACTCTACAAAAATGAGCAAACTCAGCACTGTCTTTAAGTCTGATGGGTTCAGCTCCAAAGTGCATTGAGAGATCTGGAAACCTGAATTTAGGGTTTGAAAAAGATGGCTATATGCCATTTTTTCCTCTATTCTGCCTCCTCTTACATGCCATGTTTTAAGACACCTAAAGGGTGCTAAATGAAAAACATGCTAAAATTTTTTTTTAAAAGTGAAACATACTTAACAGTACTGAGAATATGAAATTAACTCTAGTCCATCTTGAGGGGGGAAAACAGAAGAATATGAATGTACTGATAGGAAAATTCCAAAAAAAAAACTCACTCCCCCCCCCCAAAAAAAACTCTTGTTAAAATAAATGCTATTCCTCAAACCAGGAAAACAGTGTATACTGTATAGATGATTTACTATTCTAGACATGGAAAACACCCATTAAAAAAACTTACACAGATCCAAAGCCAATCATAACAAGGGGAAACTATAACCAGAGATTTTTTTAAAGCAAGTTCTCTTTGTTATTTACATGTTGTTTCTCCCTAAGCTATGACCAGTTTCTATCAAGTGAACCCAAGCTTTCAAGGAATGCCAGCACTTAAGAGATGGAGACAAGGAGTTCAAAGCCAACCTTAGCCACCTAGTAGGTTCAATACCATCCTGAACCGGACGAGACTCTAGGTTTTTGTTGTTTGTTTAAATTATCTTTTTTGTTCTGTTTGGTAGAGACAGGGCCTTTCTCTATGTAGCCTTGGCTGTCCTGGAATTCACAACGTGCACTGGGCTGGCCTTGAGCGCAGAGAAATCTGCCTGCCTCTGCCTTCCAAGTGCTGGGATGGATGGCGCGTGCCACCAAACCGCTGCAGATCCTGTGTTTTGTTTTGTTTTTTAAATACGCTCAAGGCTGGTGAGATGGCTCAGCAGTTAAGAGCACTTGCTGCTCTTGTAGAGGATCGAGGTTTGATTTCCAGCTCCTGCAGATCTTAACAACCACCTGCAACTACAGTGCCAATAGAACCAGCACCCTCTTTTGGCCTGTGTGAGCATTAGGCATTCACATGGCACACGTACATATACACAGGTAAAATAATCACACACACGAAATAAAATAAACCTTTAAAAATATGTAAAAAGGACAGTGAATTAATATTTCAACTAATGAGTATAATATAAAGGTTCCCCATCTAACACATACATGTAAAATGTGTGTTGTTTATGTGTATATTCCCTTCTACCTCATACAAAACACACAAATACACACACTTTACAGAAAAAAACCTACCCCAAATGGTCAATTGTTTCTAGATACATTGGAGACAGTATTTTTTTAATGACTTCTAAGCAACCACACTACTAATAGGTACTGTGGTGGCCATATCCCTATGACACAAAGCACTTATTCCATCTTAGATTTTAGTTTGGGACACTTCCCAGACAGACAAATCATAGAAATCTTATGAATATCAAGTTACTGGTTCATGCCAAAACATGGCCTTCCCAAAGGATGCTCTGTCTGCAATCTGTGAAGGAATCACATACAAATCCCCTATTTACTGGTATCTTCTAAAGAAGCAGAAAGGTCTGTGTGGAGGGGAGAAGGGAGGGGGCTAAGACTAGATTTGCTGACTGCTAAAAGTTCAGCTCTGAGGTTTATTCCAAGATTCTATAAAAGAGCAGTAAATTAGGGTTTGGCTAGTCCTTGCTGACTATGGAAGCCAGAATAAACATTTACTCGAGGTATTTAAATCTACTAAGAGTACCCAGTGGTTAGGTACAGCAACTCCAATCTGGAAAAAACAGCAAGCAAGTCCACTGGAACTGTTTCTAAACAGAGGTGGGGCGGAGGAGATAGGCACATTTCCTTTGTTTTCTCTAACAAACAATACAGACTTCAGAAAGGCAACACGCCAGTTGCTGGTATTGATCTCTAAAATCTTCTGCTGCCTTACTTAAAAAAAAAAAAAAAAAAAAACAACTAGCAATTTATATTTTAAAAATGTCAACCCACAGCTACCTCAGTTCAAATAAAGGAAAAGTCCAGGCTTTACTGTGGAAACAGAAGCAAAAATCAAACCCTCAACTACATAAAATATGAACCCCACATTCCTAAACAAAATGGCAAAGATACAACCTTTGTAGGTCACTAGCCACAGCAACATGAGGTGGTGATTCAGAGCAGACTAAATGTCAAGCATAACTAGACAGAATTACTAGTTACAGAGAAAATTTACCAATAAATATTTTGGTTGAAGACTGCTTTGTCATCTTCGTAAGTATTTTTAGTTGAAAGCATGGGTTTGGGCAGCCCACGTGGACGTGGTTCTGATTTTTAAATATCTATTTCTTACATTCTGGTCACTGGATAGGTTTCTAAACTCAAATCTTCGGAACTGGTAATTTGGAAAGGGTAAACCACGAGAACATTACATTAAAAAGAAGAAGACACCACCCTCACCAACTCAGGTCAGCAAAGCTAAGCTGGTAGGCTAGTGTTCTCACAAACCTAAAGATGGGTCTCCTGGTCCAGATGCTCATGTAACAGGAAACACTGATGAACAAAATGTCTGAAGCCATTTCTCAAGGTACAGCAAGACTTCTGAGTTCCTTACTTTTCTATCTGTACTTATTTTGGGGTGGGTGGCAGGCATCCATTCAGATTCTTCCCCTAAAAGCTCCAAATGGGCTTCTTTCTAATTGGACCTAAAAATTCGGACTTTAAACATCCATAATCAATTATTATGAACTACCTCATAGCAGTTTATATTTCTTACAGAAATACCAAACATGTCACTGAAAAAATCTATTAAGATGAGTAATGTTAAATAATGGTACCGCTTTTGATTCTTTTAAACAACCCCCACCTAATTTAGAGTCCAAAAGCTTTGAGGGGTGTTACAGCTCAATCAACCCATACTTTTTTTTTTCTCTTGCACACAGTGTCCTACTTCTAGTAGAGGCAAACGATTAAAGAACTGTTATGATTAGGTTTTTCTTGGGGGTGGGGGAAGAGGTGCTTTCAAAGGAGAGAAAGTGTCCTCTCCTATTAATGGGCAACCTCTTGTCCTCAGCAGTCAGTCTGCACCCGAGACCACTACTGACTTAAGAGGGAATTCTTCCTGCGAAGTGAGGAAAGCAGAATAGGAGTAAACTACCGAAAATCCACACCACTACTCTAAGCCATTACTACTCCTCCAGTTCTCCAACAGCCTCCAAAGCACACAGACGTCTGCCAGTGGCTCTCAAACTGAATTGTGGAAATGACCACCCTATCCCTGACAGGTGACACAGCCTCTCTCTTTAGACGTTTTGTCAAACTAGCGGCCTGATGAGAGACTTTCTGGCCCTTACCAAGATACAGGATTATTTCAATGCAGCCCCCATCAGTGGCTGCCAAGGGCAAATCAGAGATTTCTCATAGCAAGAGTCTGCAAACAAACTGAATGATACTATCTGTTACTCTTCCTCCCAGGAAAACCTGTACAAATATTGAGAATTCTCAACCCCATCTCCCACAGCCAAGAAACGGATCAAGTTTCCCTCAAACCCGTGGGGATGTCTGACAGGGTAGGCTAAAAAAAACTGTCAATTCAGTACTATAAAGAATACAGAGATAGCATACCCCACTAAAGAATTACAAAAACAGGAAGGGCTGAAGAAAGATGAATGGAGAAAAATGGGACAGAAGTTTTGTTGATATTTTGTTGTTTTTGGTTAATCTCAATAACAAGAGCATACAGCTCTGCTCACCAGACATTTCACATGCTAGAAAGTTCAAGTAACAGAGAAAACCTTGATTGCGAAAGGAGAAAACATATACACAACTCCCCTAGGTCCCACTTTCCCTACCACCCACCCAGGGACCTTTAAAAAACAGGGAATGTTGTTAAGGTGACAGAGATTTACTGAAATGAAGAGATTTAGTGACGGGCTTCCTCAATTTGTACCGAAGGCTACACAGAGACCACTCTCCAAAATAACACTGTGGGCGAGAGCTCTTCTAACTTCACCAAACCAAAAAAAAAAAAAAAAAAAAAAAAAAAAAAAAAAAAAAAAACTTGGCCCCGCCAGAGGCTGGCATCTGGGGACACTTAAAGACTAACGTTCTCCGCAGACGTCTGGGATCAAGGATGGGGGGGGTCCCCAGACGCCGACCTCAACGCCACCGGGCTCCGCTATTTCCTCCACATCGTCCTTCCCCTGCAGCGCACCTAAATTGCTCCCATCCCTCAGCTGCCAGCGCAGGAGAAAAGGAAGCCATCCGTGGTTGAGGGCCTGGTGTCGGGAGCTGGAAGGCTCGCCTCCGAAAACGTGCGAGCTAGCCCGCGCCGGCGGGGGCGGGGGCGGAGGCAAAGGCAGAGGCGGAGGGTCGCCCGCGTGGGCCCGAGCTGCCGCGCGCGTGGGGCCGGCGCAGCGCCCTCCCCGACTCCCGCAGCGCCCACGCGCCCCTCGGGCCCGTGTCCGGCGACCCCGAGCCATGCTCGGGCAAGGCGTCGCCGCGGCCGAGCCCCGCGCCCAGGATGGAGCCGCGCGCCTCGGTTGCGGCTCGGCGGAGCCCCGGCGCGTGACCCCGGGGTGGGGACGGAGGGGGGGTGGACGGCGCCGCGGTCCCGGCTGGGAGGGAGAAGGGCCCACAGCCGCCCCCTCCCCCGCCTGGGACAGCGGTCCCGGGCTTCCTGCCGGGGTCGACTTCCCGCCTGCAGCCCGAGGGGACGCCGCCCGCCGTCCCGGAGCCCGCTCGCCTCCTTACCCGGACACCGCCCCTCTCGAGCTTGCTCGCCCCGAGGACACGTCCCGCTTCAGCCCCGGCCGCCGGCCCTCCGCGCCGGCCGCCTCCACCCTCCGCCGGGTTTCAAATTGAAATTCCCTGACTGGGGCCGTCAGAGAGCTCAACGCGCAAACCCCGCCCCCTTCTGGCGGAAGCCCCGCCCCACATCCCCCCCCCTCCCCGCCCGGCACGCCCCGGGCGCGGAAACCCCCGCGGGCAGGCCACGCCCCCGCGGGCAGGCCACGCCCACGGCGCCGGCTGGCGTGGGAGGGGGCCCTTCCCGAGGGATTCGCGCGGCTCCCAGGCCCAGTGCCCCGCCGCGGGGGCCCGGTTCGGCCTCGGAGCGACCCTGGAGATAATGATTGCCCGTGCGTGTGTGCAAGGCGTTCTTTCTGTGAATCCTGGCCTTAAATGCCCTCTCAACTTCTAAAAGTTCTTTCTTCAAAGTGCTTTCACTGACTAAACCTTCGCCGGGTGCCTATTTCGTGGGAGACAGTAGAGCAGGTCCAGGAAACCGAATAAGGAAAGCTGGGTAACCGAATAAGGAAAGCTGGGTCCCCCTCAGTCTCCTGTGAAAGAAGCGCTTTCACAGGAAAGGCTTGAAAAGAAACCATTTATTCTTCCTGTGGGAGAGGCAGGAGAGAGTGGGCAAACCCCGCGGAGGAGAGGAGATTTAAGCCTTGAGAGTCAGGATTTTTCCCTGCAGAGGCTTGGGAACCTAGGTTGCAAAGCAAACGGGGATGAGGCAATGTCTTTAAAAACAGAAAAATCTAACGGGTCAAATAATGGAAAGTTTTACCCACACACACGTGGATAGAATCTCCCCCAGGTCTTTTGTACAATCGGACCTCTATCTCTTTTTCTACTTATTTCATCTTTACTGAGTTGCATGTCAAGCTGTTAGTGTGGTTGCCTCCAGCATCTGACCCCCCTACCCGTGTTCCTCTAGTCATTTGCTTCCTCCTTTAGTGATTCACCTTCGCCAAAATCACCTTTTCTTTCCTAACTGTCGTAAAATTAACAGCATCAAATTAGCCCTAGGCAGTAAAGCCTTGTCTGCGAAGATACTTTCCTGGTAACAACAGGCATTCATGTGTTCTATCAGTTGCTCCTCGTGATAACTATGAAAAAGTGAGGGAGGGTATTATCTTTGCTACGCTAAAAAGAAAAGAGTAGGGGAACTAAAGTCACTTACTAATATCATTCTCGTAAGTAGTGAAATTATTGCAATAACGGCTAGCATTTGTTGTGCGCCAGGCATCTGGGTTGCTGTCCTTTATTGCAGTCCCAGACACTGAGTACACAGAGTGTGTGTGATAAGATGTGTATCAAGAACTGGAATCCTGATTACTTTCATTTCGAGTGAAGAAGAGCTGGGAATTCATGTTCATCCTCTGTAGCTGCGAGGAAATACCTGAGAGAAATAACTTAGAAGGGTTGTTTTTGCTTACGGGGTCGTAGAGCCTTCGGCTCTGGGTGGGTATCGAGGCGTCACGGTAGGGAGCACGTGGAGCAAAGCTTCTTACCTCCCTCGTGAAATCTGAGAAGTCAAAATCGAGAGACCTTGATATACCCTCCACTGATGTACCCCAAGGGACCTAATTTCCCGCCAGCTAGGCCCCACATGCAAAAGTTCCCACCTCCCCAGGCACCTTCAACTGGGAACCACGCCTTTCAACAAGCAAGCTTCAGGGGAACCTTTAAGGCCCCAGCCACAAATTTCAAGTATTTATGCACCTTGAGGCTGATAAAACAAACTTCAGGGACTCATTATTTTCATAGACCTTGAAACTAAATATTTGCAATTTTGATTCCCTGTTAAGAATAAGTTGGGATACGCTGTTTTCATTGCTGTGTGTTGTCGCAGACCCTCACTGTGTTGACAAAGCTGGCCTAGAGTTCCTGGGTTGGAGTGGTCTTCCTACCACAGGTAGCTAAGTCTGCAGGTTCATACCACACCCCTGAACTTAAAATTAGAAGTTTGGGGCTCCATAGGTCTTGATGCACACAACTACGGAAGTGGCTTCATGGTGAGGAATGCTGCTTTGCCACCATGAGAACCTGAATTCGGATCCTAGCATCCAGGTAACAAGGCAGGTATAGGATGGCAGGTGCTTACAGAGCTGGCACTGAGGGGGCAGACGCCAAGGGGGCCGACACGGAGGGGGCAGACAGATACTGTGGGGGCCAACCCCTAGGGGGCCGACCCTGAGGCTTATGGACAAGATGAGGCTATCTCTCATCCTATGCAAATTCCAAATGGCTCAAGCATCTTAGCATAAGACCTGATACCTTGAATCTGTTACAGGAGAAAAGTAGGGAATTTGTCCCAACTTACACAAACATATAAGTGGGACCTTATGAAATTAAAAATAAAATGATAGGGCTGGAGAGTTGGCTCAGAGGTTAAGAGCATTGCCTGCTCTTCCAGAGGTCCTGAGTTCAATTTCCAGCAACCATACGGTGGCTAACAACCATCTGTAATGGGGTTTGGTGCCCTCTTCTGGCTCGCAGGCATACACACAGACAGAATATTGTATACATAATAAATAAATAAATAAATAAATAAATAAATAAATAAATATTTAAAAACATAATAATCCTCTGTGCAGCAAAAGATGCTATCAGTTATGTCATGGGGCAGTCTGTAGAATAGGAAAAAAATCTTTGTCAGCAATACATCTCATAAAGTGTTAATATTTAGAGCATACAAAGAACTAAAACCAACTTTACCAAGAAAACAAACAATCCAATTAAAAATAATTGGGTATGGAACTAAACAGATTTTTTTAAAAAGTACAAATGACTAAGAAATATTTTTTAAAAATCTTCGACATTTTTAGCCACAAGGGAAATATAAATGAAAACTACTTATTGATTTGTCTTACCCCAGTCAGAATGGCTAAGATCAAAACAAAACAAAGCAAATGACCCTAAATTCTGGCATGTGTGTGGGGAAAGGGGGCGCCTATTCACTATTGGTAGGAGGACAAAGTGTTACAGTCACTGTGGAAATCAGTGTAGACTTTATTTGAAAAATGTAGCTCTACCATGTGACCAAGTCCTGGCCATATTCCCACAGGACTCTATATTCTACTACAGAGACACTTGTTCATCTGTGTTCATTGCTGCTCCATTCACAATAGCCAGGAAATGAAAACAGCCTAGATGTTGATAAACTGTTGAATAAATAATGAAAATGTGGTCCCCATTTACATAATGGACTATTACTCATCTGTTGAAAAAAAATTAACGAACTCGGCAGTGGGGGCACATGCCTTTAATCCCAGCCCTAGGGAGGCAGAGGTAGGTGGATCTCTGTGAGTTCGAGAACAGTTCCAGGACAGTTTCCAAAGCTACAGAGAAACCCTGTCTTAGAAAACAAACAAATAACAAACAACAACAACAAAAAAGAAATTTTTAGGTAAGTGGATGAAACTGAAAAAAATTGTTCTGAATGAGGTAACCCAGAAAGCCAAAGACAAATGACACATTTTCTTTTGAGTAAGTGGGTGTTAAGTTTTGTGTTTAAATTGGAGTACTCAGAGAAGTCAGGAAGCTAGTAAGGGCCAAATGGGGTGGGAAGTGGGGGAGGAAGGGGGGATTCCACAGAGGGGGATAGAATGCAGGTGGTGTGGGGGGGGGAGATGATGAAGTTGGAAGGATGCCTGAGGTTGGTGTGAGAGCGCAGAGTAGCGGAGGGAATCCAGGAGGGGTCACTAACATCAAAGGCCTTTGAGACAGTCCTATGAAAACGTACCATTGTTTCAAGAGTTCTAAAATATGGACATACACAAATACCACAAAAGCATTTAAGTGCAGCTACCCTATAACAGGGGACAACACTCCTTCCAGACATCATAGGCTATTAACAGAAGTGCAGCGCCCGATCTGGGTCACCTCTTTTCCAGTTGTTTGTCAGTGGGGTCCCATAGACCCTCAAACATTCCACAGCGTTGCCTCTTTTTTTTTTTTCTTTTTTTCTTTTGTTTTTTTGAGACAGAGTTTCTCTGTGGTTTTGGAGCCTGTCCTGGCACTAGCTCTGTAGACCAGGCTGGTCTCGAACTCACAGAGATCCGCCTGCCTCTGCCTCCCGAGTGCTGGGATTAAAGGCCCGGCATGCCTCTTTTCGTTTGCTTTTTGCTGTGGCTGTTATAAACACTATGACCAAAGGAACTCGAGAGGAAAGAAAGAGTTTATCTCAGGTTATACTTTCAACGCCCAGAGAAGTCAGGACAGGAACTCAAGCTAGGAATCTGGAAACAGAAACTGAAGCAGAGGCCAGAGAGGATTGCTGCTTACTAGCTAGTTTTCTGATTCATGAGCAGCTAGCTCAGGACCACTTGCCTAAGGCTGTACTCTCCCATAGCGGGCTGAGATCCCCCATATCCGTTATGAGTCAAGACAACTTCTTGCAGATATTGTCATAAAACAATGTGATCTGGTCAGTTCCTCAACTGAGGTTCCCTTTTCCCTGGTTCCCGGGTTATGTCAAATTGGAAATAGAATCTAACCAGGGCAGTTCCCCTTCAGAATTTGATGATAAGACCATATTGGCGAAGACACCATTTACTTGATTCATTGGACAAGGAGAAATCAAACTGATTCCAGCTGAAAAGCTTCATTCCTATTGACTAGCAGATGGCTCTATGCCCATGCACACATACTGGCAGGACTAAGTGCACTCTGTGGCTTTAAGATGAGAGGGAGAGAGAGAGAGAGAGAGAGAGAGAGAGAGAGAGAGAGAGAGAGAGAGAGAGAGAGAGAGAGAGAGAGAGAGAGAGAGAGNGAGAGAGAGAGAGAGAGAGAGAGAGAGAGAGAGAGAGAGAGAGAGAGAGAGAGAGAGAGAGAGAGAGAGAGAGCATGAGACTAGAGAGATAGATGGATGGGTGGTTAAAAGTATCAGCTACTCTTGCAGAGGACCTGAGTTCAGTTCCCAGCACCTACTGGACCTGAGTTCGGTTCCCAGTACCTACAGGACCTGGGTTCAGTTCCTAGCACCTACCGGGTAGCTTACAACCACTTGTAACTCCAGTCTCAGGGGATCCCAATGC